ACCTAATTTAGACTCTGATATCATGTTGTAATTTAAATAAATAATTTTAAAGTAATTCGTATGTTTCAGTATCAATAATACAGCCTATATATTAACTATTCTAGAAAAAAATATTAAAAAAATTCTGTAAAGTTAAGAAGCCATGATGATATGTAAACATTGTGAGTTATTCAATAAATAAAATTATATTAACTCTTAACTCAAGATGGCATAGGTGTTGTAATTTAAAGAAATAATCTGCAAGTAATTCGTATATTTCAGTGTAAACCAACAATATTTGGTAACAACTGACAGCTCTTATCTTTTAATTTAAAGGATAAAAATAACTCTTTCTTAACTAATTTTCATCTGATTTATTCCAAATAATTAGCTGGTGAATAGATATCTTCCATTCCTAGCTTGGAAATAATTCCATGGAACTCGTGTTGTTCAGACCCTTGGTTAAAACATCTGTCAATTGACTCAATGCACATGAGACATACAGACTAGTCCTTTTTGCTTTTCGAAATTGTGACATCCCAAAATCTTAGCAAATTTATAATGCATATTCATACCTTCTATTGTGATGTATATTTCATGTAACATAGTAAAAAGTTATGTTAATGATATTATCACCTTTTGAAAAAGAACTGAATAAAGATTTTGATAAAAATCATGTGGAAAAAAGAAAAGATAAGATAAGATTGAGGTGACCAACCTACATAAGTTATCGTGTTACTTTAAATATTAAAATGACAAATGGTATAATAGTTTGAGATTGAGGTGGCTACCCTACATAAACTACCTTGCCACTCTAAATACTAGAATGACAAATGGTATAAAAGGATAAGAATGAGGTAGTTACCATACATAAATTACCTTGTCACTCTAAATACTAAAATGACAAATGGCATAACAGGGTAAAAGTTGGCAAAATAATGATTAAGGAAAAATAAATTAATTATTAATTTAATTCTCAATTACTACTATTAATAGGGGAGAAGAAGAGAACATGAAAAACATACAACAATTTGAAAACCAAAGTCAAGTCACTTCATAAAGAAAAGCACTTTCATTATCTTGCAACTTGAATGTGAGTAATCTATGTCCATTTTTATTCCGAACATATTTATTACAATTATGTTTATTGGATTACTTCTAATGTGGCGAAGGCGGCGACAAAACTTCTATCGCTATTACTTCTAATGTGCCAATGGTTGATATATAGTGACGTAGATCTATTATTTCCTTTTATTTTTTGAGTTTGATTTCTCGGATGGTTATGGTGGTTTGTATGGTTGATGGTTGCTGTGGTAGTTTTTCTGCAATTGTTACAGTGTATGATGGTGGTTTTGCGGTTGTGGGATAGTAGCAACGACGTATGTGGTGATGGTGAGATGGTAGTTGTATGTGGGGCTGTGTTGGTGATGGTGGCGTTATTAGGTTGTGGTGGTGGTGGTGGTGGTGGTGGTGGTGAAGGTAGTGTTAGCGGTAGTAGTATGTGACCAACAATTTGGTTATTTATAACTAATTATTTAATTGTGGCATAAAGATTCAATAATTTGTCATTGACAAACATTGTGACCAACTAATTTGAAAGTATGTAATTGATAAATAAATTGTAACTTATAAATTTGTTGATTTATGAACGATGACATAAATTGTGACATATCAAAATTTTTTTATTGTGATTATGAAAAAATTTGTGACCAATTAATTTGATAATATATAATCAATAAATAAGTTGTGACCTATAAGTACAAACACGTGATAATTAATTATATAATTGTGACATTAATATATTTAATTAATAAAATATTTTTAAATAATTAATTAATGCCCGAGTTTTGAATTTTGAAACTTAACGTTGAATTGCCCCATATTGACTCATGAACTTTTGCCTAAAAGTAATTATGTTATCCAACTATTTTGGGCCTTACAATTGAAGGGGCTTATAATTAATTATTATATAATTTTTAAATAAAAAATAGCCTACAAACCAAGAAAAAATCGGTTTTGGGTCAGTTGGGAAGTGAATAAACCGGCCAATTGACCGGTTTTATTGATTTTTTATTAAGTGGGTTTTTAAGTATAATCGAACGGAATGTTAAATTGGTTTCCGATATCTCCAATTAAACTGATCGGTTAGGTTTTTATAACATTGAGCAAATTTGAAACCCAATAAACCTAATTTAAACTCTGATATCATGTTGTAATTTAAATAAATAATTTTAAAGTAATTCGTATGTTTCAGTGTCAATAATACAGCCTATATATTAACTATTCTAGAAAAAAATATTAAAAAAATTCAGTAAAGTTAAGAAGCCATGATGATATGTAAACATTGTGAGTTATTCAATAAATAAAATTATATTAACTCTTAACTCAAGATGGCGCCCATGGCCTAATGGATAAGGCGTCTGACTTCTAATCAGGCGATTGTGGGTTCGAGTCCCACTGGGCGTGTTTTCAAATTTTTTGCATATTTGAAGAATGCCGCCTTCTCCCAAATTCTAAAACTTTTAAAGTAATTGATTTAATATTTTTTTTTTCAATTTTCATATTAATATTGTAAGTTATATTTGAATAGTTTAATTTACATGAATGTAATGGTTGAATTTCTCACTATAATGTCCACAATTTGAAACAATACTCTATATACATTTCATACTATATTCTTTTGTAAATTTTTGACAACTCAATATAAAGTTCGTTCTTTCTCTCATCGAGGTCATGTCCATAGAATGAGAATTAACTGTAAGCTATGTATATTTTATCTTGGAGTCGTACAGTGTCAAACTGTATGAAGGGAAGGCTAGGATGTCAATTTTTGTATTCACTCAAACCAATTTTTCTAAGTCTCTTCTCAATTTTTTGTTATTTTAGTTGATATTCTATTAANGGTCAAGTTTTAGTGAAGGTTATGGAGCGGCATGCCTCATAGATAAACTCATACCTTCTCGACTAATTTAACTAAAGGTCTTATAGACTTGCGAGAGATTTTGATATTAAACCAAGTATTTAATTTTATGACTGTATAAAAGCATCATAGAAATTAGATCAACCCAAGTTGATGAGTTGAGTCAAAAATATGATTCTTACATAAATCAACTTTTTTCACACTTTGAAATTAGTAATTTTTAAATCACTTAAATTTGCATTTGGAAATGACACTTATGTCCCCAAAAATTTGCATTTTTAAATAGATTAAAATCAATTACTAACTATATAATCATGGCCTCCCAAAAATATTGGAAATGTGACTCTCAATTGAGCTGTACAGATTAGGTAAATGACAAATCGATATGAATGAATGAGTCCCCACGCAAAATTACAAGTAGTCATAGGGAATAAAATTAAAATTTGAGATTCAAATTCAAATTCAAATTTAATTGTCTTTTTCTATCCTAATCTCCCGTTGACAAAATCGATAAATCCTTTATGAATGATTAAATTTCTCTTCTAATAATTTATTTAAGTGCTATCCACATATTCGCCACTCATTTATATCTTTTTATAAAGTAAATTGTTTATAAATTCTTTCAAATGGGGCTTAATATTTTCATTAAAGTTTGGTCCTCTCCTTACATGCTTAAATTCACAATGAGTGGAAGGAGGGGAATTTCTAGATGTTTAAATTTATTGCTAATTAATAGAAGTTGAACCAATAATTTAATTATGCTTAATTAAAGATATTAGACCATACTGAAAAATATTCTAGAATTTAATTATTGTAAAAGTAGGTTAGTGAGTGCTTCATTTTTACTTGCTACCTGTATGAGCCACATTTAAAAAAAAAAAAAAAAAATACATTCTTTAACAATGATTTGATATCATCTTAACAACACATTTTTCAATAAAATAATATTACAAGCAAATTCAAAATTTTTCTTTCTTTCTTAACTACACATTTTCCATTAATACATTTTCATTCTAAAAATGTGGCTCAAACAACGGCTAGAATTAAATTATTGCGAAAGTAGGTAACATGAATGCTACACTTTTGCTAACTACTAACCTCAAATAAGCACTACACACACACACTTCCAATCGAAATCAAATAATGTTGAATTAGACTAATAAATAAGTTCTGAAAATCAAATTAATGTGATAGTTGACATCATGACAACCACGTTATGTATATCTTGTAGGTTACAATTGTCGTGGGAGGACCACCATTTGATGGGTGGTTCACATTTCATTTAGAAAAATTAGAGCTTAAAAATGGATCGAGCAACAGCGACGGATTCAGGTTAGTGATGGCAATGGGGCGACTTTTTGCTTGTTTGCTGTCTCGTTTAATTTTATTATTATTATTTTTTTTTGTAACATTTTCAAAATTTCGAATTATGTTATTATAAGATAATAAAATACAAATTCAAAAATGAGTTTTTAATGTGTGAATTGTTATGAATTTAAATTATTATTATTATTATTATTATTATTTTTTTGTATTTTTTCTTCACGGGGTGGTGGGCATGCTCACCCCGCCCATTTGGGGCTGGGCTGATTTTTTTGTCATACCTAATCCAAGTTTGAATTTAAGATCGGGTTAAAAAATTTCAAGATGTGCTAATACGTGAAAAAAAAATTTTACTCATTAAAAATGTTTTTACAAAAAAAAAAAAAAAAAAAGAATTAAAGAAAATTACCCTAAAAAATTTTCATTGGACCACGTGGGGCGGGGCGGGGGGGCTACAGCCCAGCTAGTCCCCCCTCTAAATCCGTCCCTGTCGAGCAACATGTTATATTAAGTCCCTGTTTGACAATCATTTTTACATAATTTTTTTTTCCTCAAATACAATTTTAATCATATTCTCACAATAAAATAATCTGCACGCAAATTCAAAACTTTTTTGTACTTTTTCACATCTTATTCAAAAATTACTATTCGGAAATCCAATTTTCCCAAAAAACTCTCTATAGGTGTTGTCAAACATGGACTAAATGAATTAGACATAAGGTTATAAAGATGAATCCCGACCTTAGTCGAGGGTTTATTTCCTGGAACAAGCATAACATATCCATACAAACAAGAATATAAATTATTTATTTTTTCATTACAATCCACAGAAGAATTAAAAGTTGCAAACTTGCTTACAAATGAGTTTGGTGGTGGAGTTAGCGCTAGCTAAACATCAACACAACCCAAACTCTAATACACTATTAATTAAATTTGAGGGTTTGGGCAATTAGGCATTGGCCAATACCCCTATTGCTACAACTATACAAAATTTATAAAAATTATTGACTGCTGCAAAAATCCAAAAATCCCATGAATTCATGATTGTTTATCATTCTGATGCTTTTCTCTGTTCCAATTACTCCTGCAAAGAAAACAGAAATGAACATTGACACAGACAGAAAATTCTTGGAAAATTCTTGAAAGTATGTTCGAAATTCATGTTCGAGTACACAGTATTGGAAATGATCGAAAACTATAGTGAACAAGATTTTAACTTACCCATTGTTAAAGCACTGGCAAAAATAACACCAGACAGTATAAACACGATGATTGAAGCCCTCTTTAGAATTGTGATAAGTTTTCTTATGAAGAATTGTCCCCAGAAACCAGCCAAAATAGACACAGTCATGAGGTATAAAGCTGCAATAGAAAAATGACAAATGACAATAAATTTTATAATATTGTACTTTTTGAGGAAATAAATGAAATGAAGGTAACAATATATTTACCATAGGGAATTGGAAACCTCTTAAGGAGATAAAACTCCACCACAGATAATGATGATGAGAACATCATCACAAATGTTGCTGTTGCACTAGCTACCTGGTGGGAAGAACAAGAGTCAATTTCACATTAAGCAACTGTTTGGTACTGCTAAAAAACCTGATTAAAATCTAAATCAAAGTCAATAATTAATTTAACCACATATTTCTTAGGACACATAACTTTTCAATCACACATTCTATCAGTTTTTATCAAAATCTATTAAAAATCTGATTTTAATCTCTCAATCAAACAAGGGCTAAATAGTGACATTTTCAAGAAGACTATACAGCTGCATTTACAAGTTGAGATAGTGAAAGATGTTATAATTTTCCGTCAAATAAAACATCAATCACGATTAATTTAATCCCTTGACAGGGATATTTAGAATCTAGTCCTATCAAATACCGTGTTTCGAGCATATACCTAGATGCCCTGTTGAACAGTCCTATAGTCAATCCACCAATCTAATCTTAAGATTCTCATTGTATTTAAGTAATCTGAAAGTGCTAGTAAAAATTCTACAAAATTGTCATATGCAGTGAAAATTCAGGCAAGCCAGACCATTAAAAAAATATCTTGTCTTCTAGTCTTTTACCCCCTATATAACATGGACCGATCAGTGTACTCTACTAGAAGTTTGAATGCTCATAAATGTATATGAGTATAATTGAGGAGAATCTGCAAGAGGTTTTTATAGTCGGTCTGAACTCCGGGTAATTGAGGTAACTCGGCCGTGTTTTTCGTAGTCGATCTCAATTCCTAATATGATATAAATTCTAATACATTATTGAATATAACTGCGGTGAAGAAACAAGTAAATGGGGTGAAAAAATGAGCACTTCACCTGAGGGATGACACCGATTTCTAGGAGTAGGGGACCAAGTATGAAGCCACCACCAGAACCTAACAAGCCCCCAACAGTGCCTCCTAAGATGCCACAAACAGCACAAAAAGCAAGATTTGTTCCTGTCCATTCAATTGCAGCCTCACATATTGATTCTGGATTCCCTGCTTTCCTCCTTTTCTTGCTTTCCTTGTACAATTTGACACATTCATACACAAAAACTGCAAGAGCAACTGGCAACTGAAAAACAGAAACAAAAGAAGTTGAAATTAATTCAGTTTCCACAGCAAAATGAGCGCGCGCGTACACACGCACACTTATGGACTATATGGTGTTCAGCTGGATAATCATTAATGAAGAATTTTGTCACTCGACTACGGTTCGAGTACAGCTTCCAAAACGTTAAATTTTCACAGATGGTGAGGAGATTCAAACTCAAGATGTTTGTTTATAAAACAATGCAGAAATCTATGAACTCAAACAATTAAAAAAGGATTTTTATGAATGTTATGGATTCCTGTACCTGTAACAAGTTGAGTAACCAGTACAATGGAGTGCAAGCTTTCAAATTATTCTGCAAATCCAGGTCCTCATTAGAAAATAAAAGTACAAAAATACACAATCTAATATTACCATTTTGAATTTTTAGAAGAAAACCACCAGAACTTCACTTGCCTTGAAGACTTGAAGAAGCAAAAACGAAATCCATACAAGCATTAGCACCAGAATTCTCTTTACATTAAAGTTGCCCCTCACAATTTGCTGAAAGAAAAATGTAAAATTATGATTTAACATCCAGCAATTAACGGTAGTCACAAACAGAGATTGAAAAAAGGCTTCCACTTACCAATACCGTTTTCTCCTCTTTAGGAATCAGCGGTTCATACACGGTATCAATTAGAACTGAAGAAAGAAGGAAATGAAGAGAATAACAAAATCAGATATTCTTTTTCCTGTTTTTCGATTAATAATTCTTTAACTTATATAGAATTAGTTAAGCTTTGTAAATACTTACGTTCCCCATGAGAGTTGACATAAGTTTTCTGTTGTTCTGCCAATGCTTTCTGCAGTTATCCAATCCAGACAAAGAGACAAAGTAAGAACTAAGAATCATAAGCTACATGCAATCAAATAATTGATTTTATGTGTTGACAGCTCCTTGTGGTAAATTTTTTTTATTTTTTCTTTCAATAGCTCTATAACACAGGATTTCTCTCTAATCTCATCTTCTTGCCTATAATTGCACCTGATTTTTTTAAATTTTTTTTAGACCAACTAACCTTCAAATTTGTCTCTTCTTTCCACATCTCAATCCCCTTAAAAAAGGACCTTGATGAAGTTCCTGTTGGCAATAAACAAAACCATATAAGATTTTTCAGTCAAAACTACTGGTGTTCTATAGCTTAGAATAGGGACCAGTGATTATTGCTTCCTATTAAAAGAAATCAAATAGCAATCATTTGCCATTTTCAAATCCCATAAAATAACATATCTTAAAACAATTATTCCATTGCCATTTATTTAAAAAATATTTAAATTGTTTATACAAGAAAATATAGAGTAGATGAATTTACCCAAGAAGAGAACAATGATCAAGATAGTGATGAGCCAATAGGGGAATACAACACTGAGAGACACGCCAAGTGTAATGCCAAGCATGAGCATGGGCTGGAACAGAAGAGCCAAATCATAGTCAATTATTGGTACTTCTCTGCATGGATGAGGCACCCTCAAGTTGTACCAAACTGATGATGCTGATGCTCCCATTATCATACCTGCATTTGTACACATCTCCAATCATAATTTTGCGGTTTAAATAGACAAATCGATTACTCGACTCCGAAGAAATGATTAGTTTAAGGAATTAATCTACTTTGCCGGAAGAAATTGTCCAGAGAGTTGGAGGGAAATGATCGGGTGAAAAAGCTAACTGTATTTTAAATTATCCAGCCATATGACATTATGTAACCTCAGGAAGGAAAACACAGTAAAAAGAACACTTAAAACAGATCCAAGAACAAGATAATTACATTTTGAAATGGCAGCGGCAGATTTGGTATCAAACCCAACAATCAAAGTAAGCATAGGGACAAAAATGCCTCCTCCACCGACACCACCCACAGTTCCACATGCTGAACCCAAGAATCCTATTATAGTTGCCAATACAATTCTCCAATTGAACTTCAAATCCTGTTGAAAGATAAAAAAGAAAAAAAAATAAAATAAGAAACATATGTTTCTTCAAGTGTGTGTGTGTTTTTTCTACACAAAAATTTACCGGCCAGATTTTGGGATCGGACCCCGACGAGTTGGCCGGAAATGGAAGAAGCAGTTTTTGTGGGTGAGCATATCCGCCATTAATGGAATGTTTGTTGATAAAGTGAACAGAGAGAAGAACTGCCAGAGAGAAACCCGTTATCAAATACACCACAAACCCTTTTGTCGCCATGGCCAATAGCAGTTACTGCTTCAAATTTGTACCGCCACGCACAAAAACAACACTGTGATGACAGAGTAATGAAGCGTTATTTATATAGAAATAATAATGAAATAAAAGATTCTTGGGAATGTTACATATATGGGATTAAATGTACAGGTGGCATAATCAGAGTCGTTACTTAATATAATTTAAGATTCACTGTTCAATCATTGATTTGATTTTCAATGAGTTTTAGGTTACATTACAACAAGAATGCTGTGGCCGAGTGAGTCATTAGAGTTATCCACAGATAATGCAGCAGCAGGAGGAGGAGGAGGAGGAGGAGGAGGATATTACCTTAAATTTTAAGAAAAAATATTTAATGATTTTTGTGGTGACGATGATTTAACAGGATGGACACCAAACACGATGGTATAGCAGTTTGATTTGAATACGTTTCCATATGAGGCTTGAAGATATATGGTAGCCACTTAATTTTTTCCAAATATAAATTCCATTTACAATTTTTTTTTTTTTGACTTACGAATTATAAATATTTGAATTTCGTTCTAAATATAAATTAATTTATATTTTTTCCATTTACATAATTGATATTTGGCTAGTTCTTTGTTAGGGAGATTTTACGCTCGACTCAATTCATTGTATATCGGACCACAAATTTTCGAATGAAAAATTTTAAAAAATTATTTTACTGTATTTATTTATATGTATTTCACTTCTCTTCATGTAAATAAATGTGCCAAAAAACCCACAAATATTTTTTTTAATGGGGCATTATCATTAGGCACATGTTTTTTGCCTCATTTGTTTTAAAATTTTCTTAAATATGAAGTAAAAGCAAACTTGAACATGCAGACAGACAGACAGACATACTGCATTCAATCTTTACGTCAAATTAAGTTTCTGCTTTCTTGGTAATGATTTTATATACAACCTAACGTTACTTAATTATTTTATAAATCATGTCATAATCTCTCTCTCTCTCTCTCTCTCTCTCTCTCTCTCTCTCTCTCTCTCTCTCTCTCTCAACATATTCATACATAATTTTCTATTTGGTTTATTTAAATCATAAATTAGTCTAAATCTTGAGAAAACCTGAAGACATATTGTTAATAATTTATTAAAACAAAATTTATTTCATCTAAACTATTACAAAGATAGTTCAGCACATAATTATCAACTCGACACATAAAGCTTACCGACTCCCTTCGATTTTGATATATTTAATTTATAATGACAAAAATTGAATAAGCAACACATTACTTTCTATTTTACTCGATTTTCCATGAAGCTTCCGTCACCATTTTTGTAAGGGAAAATTATAGCATTGGTCCCTAACCTTTTTATTTTTTTACAGATTTCACCTTAACTTTTAATTGGTGCCAGCAAAAGCCTCTAATTTTTCATAAATATGCAGTTGAGGTCCAACTTGATGAAAACCGTCCATAAAATCGTTAGTTGATTTGACCAAATTTTGATCAATTTTAAAAGGTTAAAATAGTAATTTTATATTTTATATAATAAAATAATTAAATCAAAATGAAAAAATCAAAACCAAAAGTCACCTTCCCACCCCACCCCAACCCAACCCAAAATCAAACCCTAAGACATCAATGGCTCCATCACTTGTCTATCATCGCCACCTCCATCTACAAGATGCCAGCTAGCACCCAATGCTACCACTTTTCCCTTTCTCACCACCACTAAAATCACTTTCACTAAGACCTTGACGTAGCGGAAGATTATAGGAAAGATGAACAATTACAAAATGAGAAAATTCTCAAGAAAATTTTTATTGAATTCAAGAACTGTCGCCTCAAAGGGTTTACAACGCTTTAAATAGAAAAAAACCTAGCAAAATTCGAAAAATAGAGTAAAAAAGATATTTTTCCAAAAATAGAAAAATATGAGGTAACTATTAAGATGGAAAATTCTCATCTTCAGGATCATCTTCCAACAAACAGAATACAAATTCGAATTTTATGGAAAGAGATTGCAAAAACAAAAATTACAATAAAAAGCAAAAACGCCTAAACGAGGGCCTAAACGATAGATTTTGCCCAAAATTGACCTTGCATCAAGGCCAAAGGCTTTGAGCTTTATTCATTGGCTCGATTCCAATCAAATTAGACTAGCAATTCGCCAAAAATGAACAAACTCGAAGTTATCATGAAATCAAAAACCATTATTTTGCCTTGCGACGGTCCCATTTTATTATAAACTCTAATCCCTTATGCACTTCATTAGAACTTAACCAGAAGAAATCCATTACCTAGGTTCCCAAGAAAAAAAAATCAAAACCACTTGAGAAATCAAAACCAAAACCTTCACTCCTTGAAGCTAAAATCACCTTCACTCCTCGAGGATAATCACCCATGAAAAATAGTCGAAGCTAAAAAATGAAGGCCGAAGTTGAAAAAACCAAAATCAAATCCATTATTGCAGTAGAGGATGAAGCTGAAAAATGATAAAAAAAAAAATCACCTTCACTTCTTGAGGACCATCACCCAAGAAAAATCTTCAGTTAGCCAATCGAATGTCTCTTATCGATAGATCTGTTGTGCAGGTGGTGGAGATATATGTTAGCAAGGCTACATTGAGGTTGCAAACCAAAAAGTTCTCATATTTGAGCAAAAAACAAAACTTCTATCGAAGGTAGGATATGGTTTGGGGGATTTAGGCTAGGGTCAAAAACTGCTGGTGATGGAGGAGAATTTGATTGAGGTGCAAGTTAGCAAGATAGCGAAGGAAATAGTCTCGAAAAAATACGAGAAAAAACTGGTGATTGTGTTTTTTATGTTAATGTGGGATGGATAAAGGAGATGGGAAGGGGCAAACATTGTTAAAACGCGCACCATAGCAAGATGGGACGGTGGAGGAAGATGGTGATAATCTGACGATATAAGCAGCAACAGCAACGGTTTTTGAGTATTGTTTGGTTTGAGGAAAGGGAGGAAAATGGGGTGGGGGTAGATTTTTTTTTCTTTTTTAGAATATTTAATTTGTTGTTTTTAAATCAAATGGAAAATTTAGTATGGACGAAAATACCCTTTCTTAAAATAGTCAAATTACCCCATTTTTGTTTTTGTTTTTTTAGGTCAACTAATGGTTTTATAGACGGTTTTTGTCAAGTTAGACCTCAGCTGCATATTTATGAAAGGTTAGGGATCTTCGCTGACACAAATTGAAGATTAGAGTAAAATCCGCAAAAAATTGAAAATGTGCTGCAATTTCCCCTTTTTATAATGGAAATATTTTGATCCAATATTTGCCAAGTTGGGGTTTGTTTTGAATCATTTCACAGTTGATGATTTGATAGTATGGTAGTGACGGCTGGGTGCATTTTCTTTCTCCTTGAATAATCATTGCTTAATCAAAGACATTTCCAAAGAGAACTGATATTTTTATATTGTACATGTGTTTATTTGTTGTTGATACAAAGTCAAAAATAATCATTGCTCTATTGCAAGTAGTCGACCATTAATGACAACGGTCAATGGCTACAATCATCGGCTACAGAAAATTGTCATAGATTATAGACATATTGTGCGTATATTTTGATTTTATATTATTAATATTAACGAATTGTGCGTATATTTTGATTTTATATTATTATTAGTATAATAATAATAAATTATAGACGTATTGTGGATATATTTTGATTTTATATTATTATTATTTAATGAAGCAAACGAAGTTCAGTTGAATTGCAACGAAACCATAAATTTAGTGACTAGGAGTTTTTATTCCAAAATAATCAATAGTGGCCACTCTTCCCGTTTTCTGAATTTGGCCAATTCTTACTCTGTGTTTGATTGACATGAAAAATATCATCTAAAAAAAAATATTTTTCATCTTTTGTGGAAAACAAAAACAACATCTACCCAAGAAAAATGTCTTCCTTGCTCGCGTAAAGACAAGTATTATGCTCTCTTTCTCGCTCCTTTTATGTAGCTCTTACGTGGAAAGTCTTCCACTCGTTAAATAAGAAAAATTATGCATATTTTCAAAAGTCGAAAAATATTTTTCATGAAAAAAATAGCAATCAGACACTCCAAGTAAGAATTTGGATGGAAAACTAATATTTTTCATGGAAAATAAATGTAATAAAACACATCCTTAATTTATTGGCCTTCACGTACTTAAAAAATTAGGAGTTGTATTACTTTTGATGAAATAGGAAGCGACAAGAAAGGATGAAATTTCCTACAAATTTCTTAAAGCTAAAGGCATAAAAATCAAGAGAGGAAGAAGTCCGGTGTAAACTCCTAATTTGGGAAATTGCACAAATCATCCCCCAGCATAATTCTTTTAACATCTAAATTCAATCTTTCTATTTTGTAGCATCCTTGATTTCCAAGAATAGTTTCCGACTCTGCCCACTACCACCACAAGTTATATTGTAATGACCCGAGTCTCTGTGCCTAAGTCGTTATATCATTCATGAACTTGTGTCCATCTTACCCCTCGGACATTCAATCACATCCCTCAATTTGAATTCAAGAATTCTACCCTATGAGAGGTTACAGACTCTCATAGAAAGTCCAAAGAATAGGTGAGCCAGGCCAGGCTCACCCACAGGCCGTGCAAGGTCCAAAGGTGAGACGGGCAAGGCCAGCCAGGTGCAACCCCTTCACACCTTTACTGCCATGCTAAGTACAGATGTAAGATGCTTGAAAGTCAACTCGTTCTATGCAAGCAAATTTAACTCTCTACCCTATGTAGAAGATTTTATATGCATGTAAATGAGCAAGACCCGTTTTGTGTGACTCAGATATCTTATCAACATTACATAGCAGAGAAGTTTACTCTCATCTTGCGAAGAAAGTGGCCGTGCATGAATGCAAAAAATGAGCAATATTGCCAGCTAATTCCATATGCTGTGCTTGTAGTAGGATTGATTTCATATGCACAAGCAACTCTTTAAGAATTATCACAAGGTAACGAGTATCAGAAAATGATTGTGTATTTATGCAACTCGACTCATCGTTACATTAAGCAGTCTTCTTCATGATATACATATTAAAGAAAAAATCTTTTACAAAAGTCCTGAAAAGTCAAATTTTTACCATAGAAAAATAGAGACTTGATGGCAAAACAAGAAGAGTACAGGCCTAGTTGAAGCCATAATGATTGTTGCCTTACTACCTAGATTATGTTTTGCATATGAAAACAGAGAGCATGCCATATCGAACTCTCAAGTATGT